TCATTTAAAACTCATGCTGCCGGAGAATGTAAGAACACGGGCTCCAGTTAAGGAATATAAATATAAAATTTCCAGTTAAGGAATATAAAATTCAAAATTGTGCTACAAGAAATGGCGAATGATAAAGCAAGTAACAAGCACTAGAGGGAGGCAGGCCTTCAACATAAATGCATGATCATTTTGGAAATTGCCTCTGACAGTGTTTAATTCATTGGTGGAACCAATTTTTTCCATCCAGTTCTCTAAAAACTTGTATACTTTAAGTAAGAATACTAATGGTTGATGAGATTTTAAGTGGAGTATCTTTTTAAGAGTCCTAGAGTTCCTAAATTAGGATTTTAAATTTCTACCTATTTCAGAGGCTTATGAATTGGAGAAAACTTAGATACTTCTGTTTCCAAAGTATCCAAATAAAACTTCCCCAAGAGTCATGTAAAGTACATACTAGGAGAAGTATCAAAGTTCAAGATGATAACAAAATTAGAGGCATATAAAGCTCAGGGAAAGCAACTGGGGAAGGAGGATGAAAAGAGCCATGTGCCCCTTCTGATAGAAGTGTGTTTCACATATGCTAGTTTCTAGGGAGAAAGCACTAATCCTGTACACAGAGGCCACCTCAGCTGCTCCCCTCTTCATCGAAACAATTCATGTCAAAAGTTCCTCTAAGGACAGTTTTTGCCAACCAGCTGCTCTCCTCTCATTGTAGGAAGTCACCTCCTTTGCTCTTTGGCTTCCTGGACCTCCAAATGAGTTATGAATAGCCCTCTGCTAATGATACCCTAACAGTGATACCACAATCACAGTAGCAGCACATGTACTCAGAGAAATTACTGTGTGGTAGGTTACTTAGTCTATTAATCACTTTATCAAGCACTATAGCCTCAAGAACATTCCCCAATAAGAGACAAATTTTAGCATACAACTTAAAAAAGTTCTCATTTTTACTGGAAAGCACATTTTTTCCGAGCACCTTGATATCTATAGACCACACATGAAGCAGGATAACAGCAGAATACACACATATGCACAATACATACATCCTTTTCTTAAAGACCTTTTAAAAAAATTATCTGCTGTTATAACCAATGACAATTATGCAATGACAAGCAGAGATCAGTCAACTGTGCAAAAAATCTGAATTTTGCAAAGTGCCAGCACACATGGCAGAATACTTCACCTGCACTTCATAATGTGCTGCTTTGCTTTTTTTAGCTACTACCCCATTCTACAAAATATGATGGAAGATATCAAATGTATTCTTTCCATTATGCATTCAGACATTTTATGACTTCTCAAAAAATACAGCAAAGAGGAGAAAATGCCAATCCTATGAAAACCTATGAAAAACTTCTGCTCATTCTTATGCTTTGCCAATCTAGCACTATGCTCAACTCTAGTAGCGTGTAACTCAGCTTCTAAAAATGTACACAAACATCACAAATGCAAATTTATTCTACATATTAAACTTTATCTATCTGGATGCTGTGGCAAAAGCGTAAACCTCTGTAAGCAAAAATTAAAAATATAAACCAATAATCTGAAATTTTTTAAAAAGCATGTCCAATACTCCTCAAAAAAAAAGGGCCTTGGCTTTATATTACTAAGATGGAAAAAAAAAAAGCTTTTGGCTTCCTTTCTGGGAAATTATGTAATGATGGTCAAGCAAGTTTTCTTATGGAGAATCAGGAAGTCTTGTTACAAAAGGGTTAAAGTTTTATAAATCTTAGATTTATCTTCCTTTACAAGAATTTTTGCAGCACTTAAAATAACAGGTAAATAATAATGTTAAACAGCAATGAACCTTAGCCTATTAGACTCATTCAGCAACAGTTTGCACCCACCAAAGTTTAGATCACAGAGCTGCAACGCTTATTGTCTCTACTATTTAAAAATAGGGTTTTTTTCCAGGAGCTGTGGAATTAATCTTGGTATGTTAAACTGTAAGAAGAGGCACAAGAGCATGAACTACAAAGAAGTGTATTACCTGTTCACCCATACAAGCAAAGAGAGTTGCTTTGCTTCTGTCCAAAGGCCCCGTGCTCTTGTCCCTTGCACACAATTCTAGGCAGCTTCAGCAATCATTGAAATTAATGCTTTCAATAATAGCTGTGGAGCAATTCATATGACATGAATGCTTTAACTGTGCATATCCATGCCTCCAAGCATCATAAGTTTCTTTCAAGGTCCTTGTCTGCACAATTACACTTAAATGATTGTGTTCTGCTATTAAGTTTTGATCTATACCTTACACTAATTCCATATTTAATATAGAGCTCACTTCAGACACAATTTGCATAATTTGCACAGGAAGGCTAGCTGCTGAACTGTAACTCCAGCACAGTACACAGTAGAAACATCACTGCTTCTTACTGTTCATGGTTCATTGCTTCTATAGGGCTTGAAAGTCTTGCACTCTCAATGTGCTCAAGCTTCTGGATGGGTATACCAGTTTTGTTGTTTCCCTACTTGACCACCACAGGCATGTCTTTTGGGAGCCTGCAAAGAAACTACTAACTCACCTGCTGCCTTCTCCTCTGCCTTTTCCAGCTGCTAGCCAAAGCTGTGAGTGCTTATGCAGGGAAGCAAGTCTCCACACTACAATGCTGGCAATCGAAAAACCATTTGTACAGAAAGAGTTTCTGACACCACTTGTGGACTAAGCACAACTGCATCAAACACACTTGTTTTTTTTGTTTGAAGCGTGACTGGTTGTTGTCATGCAGACTTCCTCAAAACTACTGTATTCTTGCTAATTCTGTATTTACAAAGAAAGGAATGAAAAGGGAGAGGACAATTGTGCTGCTGGTATGAAATGCCCTGAGTGAGGGATGAACTATATGACCTACATTCTTTAGTGAGTCAATGCAACAGCAGCCACATGGTGTGAATGAATTAATGACTGGAGATACACCAGCAATGGATTTCTACTTCCACACCAAGCCCATCAAGCCTAAAAACATATCCATGTGACAACAGTCCCTTTGCTATTGGGGGGATAGGTAGGATGTACAGTGAGAGACCTTAATGAACATCTGTACTTTTTAGCACCTTCCTCTCACAGACCATCCACATCCACAATTACTGCAGTATGTCTGTTTCACAAGGTTTGGCTTAGACAACAGAAAAGAGTGTCCAGGAATACTGCAGCTCAGTGATTATGATTTCAGCAGAAAAACTGAACTTAAAAATGCTATTACCCCACACTTGTTCCAGTGTAGCTGCCAACTCTGTAAGTAAATAGGATGTACTTCACAGTATACTATACAACTGACAGAGAAAGAAAACACTTTGCAGAAGTTTATAAATAGAGTGCAGTGGTGGCAACAGCCTGGAAGTGTTAAGGCTCGGGACAGTGAAGTTACAACTGGGACTTTGTGACTGTTGCAGTGGCAGCACAGTTGGTATCCTGTGTCAGAACAAAAACAGCCCAGGTTTCAGGTATATCTGACAGAAACAGGTTCAGTCTGAGAGGTCTTATTTCACATCCAGTAATAGTACCTGAATGGATGCTGATGGTCACTGTTAAAATTTAGTCCAGCTGGCACACAGAACAGAATGATAATCTTAGGGTCTGTTCCCTGTTTTCATCTATATCCTATCTGTGGTTTAGTGCGTACTGATCAGATGGGTTTTCTGATTCTTCTCATATGTATATCCATTTAACAGAAACTAAAAAGACATTAATATTTCAGTATCTGAGCAATTAGGCTCACTAACTTTCTGCTTCTGTCTCACCTGTTACTAGTGAGCAGAACTCACCACTTCAGCTAGACAGCCACCATAGTGGTGGTCTAGGAAAATCCCAGCTCTAGATGATGCAGACATAAAGGCAACATTTAAACAGGGAAGAGAAAACCTGTCAGCAAGACCCTGGAACAGAAATCAGGCACACAGTAATGGTGCATAAAGGTAAATCTGTTGACTTGGGGATTAAGTGCAACATGCAGTATGGTAGAGTAGCTGCAGAACAGTAATAATAATAGACAGCATAACTACCGTGACAGGAAAAGCAGAAGGCAGTAAATATGTAAAGGTAATACAGTAAAACCAAAAAGCAGGATTACTTTATCTAACATAATTAAAAACTACACTGTATTTTTTTTTTTTTCCCTTTATTCCATACAAAAGAACTACACAATTCAGTTGGGAGGTTTTCTATTATGTACCTACAAAAGTTAGTGCAAACCTTTGTAATTCCAAAATGAAATCTCAGGCAGATATCCAACAGTTGTAGCAACAAAGATGCTTCCACCCTGTACATTACTGTCTTTAAAGAAAAGGTTCAGCAGGCAAGATCATAGACTCTTTCAACATGTACATATCCAATGTACTCACTCTCACGTTCAACAATATTTTAAACATTTGTATGGATTCTCAAGATAACTTTAAAGAATCTGCTGGCAGCTATTAACTTCTAATGTACAGAACACAATGTTATGCCAAAAAAGCTTGTTTCTTGTACTCATTTATTACCTTACCAAATTCATTTAACTGGAAATTTTTTCCATGGAGAGGATTTTTTTTTCTGTATATCTAAATGCAGAATACTAATCTGGACTATACACTGCATATGATTACATTCTGCAGTTTAGCAAATAAATAGATGAACATAAGCATATTTATCAAAATACTTAACAAAGACACTGCGTTCTCAAAATTTGATTTATCAGTTAGCCTCACTGTCACATAATTTTGACCAGGATACATAAGAGTTTAAAATAAAAGAAAAAATCAACTGTGTATCTTGTACACTGTGCAACTCCATGGCAAGGTATGAGGTTTTTTTACTAATACAAATCAGGAAACAGATTTCATGGTGGAATTATTAGAATTATTTGAATTACTGTTTGTTAGAAAGCTTCTTAGATTTCACTGGTGTCAAGAGGCTGGACAAACCAAGTGTTTTTCTAGTCTTCCCTTAAATGCAATCAGCTTTTATGCTTTGACTAATTGTTCTGAAAATAAAACTAAAATATATACTTGTAAAATTAGATACTTACAGTGAAAATACCCATTAGCTGAACGTAAAAGAGTCGACTTATTCCACCTAGTATTATTAGACCCATGAAGGCAGATATTCTTAGGAGAGCAAGTTCATGTCTAAATACAAACACATCCTAGAACAAGACAGAAAGAAGAGAGAGACTTTAGCAGTCACAAATTAATTAGTCTTTGAACCAAACAGAAATATTAGATAAGAGTTGTAAGAGGTGTTCTCAAAGTCTTAAAGCTGAAGGCAAATATTGGATTTTGAGCTACCTTGCACATTATTGATGTATTTATGTTTTCAAAGCAGAAACCAACAATCTTTTCTTTATACACATTAACAGTTGGGGGTTTATTTTGCCAGACTTAAAAAAAAACCCTTCACATAGCTAAGGTTTTGGGAATAGATCAAGTTCAAATGAGTTATTTCTGAATCTTCCACCTCAAACTGTACCAGACTATTACACACAAGCTACATAATACAGGAAAACAACTCTGTTAAATAGTCTGATTTATTAAGACTCTTATACCTTGGCTACCAGGCACAGAACTTTTGCCTCACCTGTTCTGAAATAAAATAATATTCCAAGATTAAAACTTGAAGGTTGTACCTACAAAGTCCAAGTATCTGTACTGGATTGTATTCACTTGTAGTGCTGTCTGTTATCCAACATAAACTTATCTCCAACTTTTAAATTTTGGCCTTGAGTGGATTATTGCCACTTTGGATAAGGATGAAGAGTACAGATGCTTCAGGGCACAAAGAAATATGGATGTATTTGATCCATTTGATCAGCTGCATAGGAAAGTCTGCTCTCATCCAGCAGAATATACAAAAAGCATTGCAGACAGTTATGTAATGTCTTCAAAGACATTATTTTTATCACAGGAGAACATTTTTACGTAGCAGTTACATTAGGTGTACTGTGAGTACTGTATTCACGCTGCTGTGAGTTCAGACTCCATTCTCTTATTTTTAAGTTACAATTATGTTCTGAAGACTGTCTTCTGAATGTACACATTTGGTTTTCCCCTTACAAAAGCTAGATCATGGCAGGAAAGTATTACAACCTTTCAAGTAAACTTTAAATTACAAACAGCGTATAGAAGAGAACTGAATGAAAAAAACACAAAACAAACAAAACAACAAACAAAAAACCCAACAAAAATCCCAGCCAACCAGTAACAAAAAACAACAACAAATTACCCCCCCAACACTGCTTATGTTCAACTGCTTATTAAGAACTTGAGGATGAGGGATACTGTGTTTTAATTAAACAGAGAATAGTTAAGGCAAATTATGTTTAGCAAAAACAAAAATCTGATTTTTCTTTTAAATAATTTCCATGAAGGTTCAAAATATAGACCCTAGGAAAAAACGTTTAAACTGCCTACTAAATCTGTGAAGAAACTCAGTATTTAATGAACAAGTAGAAATCACTAGTTAGGGAGCTAAAACAAAAAAAAATGCCAACAGTTTTTTTCCGAAAAATTGTAATGGCACGTCCCCTCTCTTCTCCCTTGTTAATACTGGCCTTTCTTGCTGCTGTAGAAAATGTATTAATTTCCATTTCTTTTAAACTTTCTTACTCGTTTAATGAGTTAATTCAAAGATAAATCGACTCAAAATAAAAGGAGTCATACTATTCTTTATTTCCCTTTCCATTAGCTAATGAAAGCTTTAAAGAAAAGCAACAACAGTTGCACTTTTACAACTTCTACTAGCTGTAAAATACTTCTTCATATCTTCATCAGTATGTTTTATTATATTAGAAATGCTTTGATGTATTCAAGCAAAACTTCACAGAAAACAATAAAATGTAAGAGAAGAGTGCCAACAGGAAAGTTACATTCTTAATCTAGAATGACACTCCTCCATTACCACACCCTGCAACTTTAATTTAGAAGAGTTCCTCCTCTTGAACATCATTTTTAGCATGAAAAAAAAAAATTGCCAAACACATGACAAAAGAAAATCCTAGCATACAAAAGAGAGATTGAATTTTTATCTGATTCTTTTAACCCACATTAAACTAGGGGTACAAAAAAGGATAGACCTTGCACACTAAAGATCACAGAATCATAGAATCACAGAACAATTCTACAAATGCATTGGAAAGGACCTTAAAGATCACCTAGTCCCAACTTCCCTGCTGTGGAAGGGACATCTTTCACTACAGCAGGTTGCTCAGACCTCCATCAAATCTGGCCCTAAACACTTCCAGGGATGGGGCATCCATAAATTCCCTAGTCAACTTCCAGTGCCTCCTTATCCCTGATAAAGAATTTCTTCTTAATACATAATCTAAACCTACTCTTGTCAGTTTGAGACTGTTCCCCCCTTGTCCTGCCACTACAGGCTCCTATAAACAGAATCTCTGTCTTTCTTGTGGGATCCTCTCAGGTAACAGAAGCTTTCTCTTTTCTGAGATGAACAAACCCAATTCAGAGTATCACAGAATCATTAGGGTTGAAAAGTACTTCTGGAGATCCACCTGCCAAAGTAGGGTCACCTAGAGCAGGTGACACAAGAATGCATCTAGGTGGATTTTGAGTGTCTCCAGAGAGGGAGATTCCTCAACCTCCCCAGGCAGCTATTCCAATGCTCTGCCACCCTCAGTGTAAAGAAATTTTGCCTCTTGTTGAGGTACAATGTCTTGTGCTTTAGTTTATGGTCATTGCACCTCAACCAGTTGCTGGGCACCACCAAAATGTTGTCTGGCACCATCCTCCTGACACCCACCTTTGGGATGTTTCTATGCATTGATGAGATCCCCTCTCAGTCTTCCCCAGACCAAACAGGCCCAGCTCCCAGAGTCTCTCCTCACAAGAGAGAAGCTCCAGACCCCTGACCATCCTTGTGGCTCTCCACTGGACCCTTTCCAGCAGCTCCTTGTCTCTCTTGTGCTGAGGAGCCCAGAACTGGACACAGCACTCCAGGTGTGGCCTCACTGGGGCTGAGTAGACGGGAAGAGTCACCTCCCTTGACCTGCTGGCCACACTCTGCAGCCCAGGATACCACTGGCCCTCCTGGCCACAGGGGCACTGATGGCTCATGGACAACTTGTGATCCACCAGGAGTCCCAGGTCCTTCTCCCCAGAGCTGCTCTGCAGGAGGTCAGCCCCAGCCTGTGCTGGCACTTGGGGCTGTTCCTCCCCAGGAGCAGGACCTGACACTTGCCCTTGTTGAGCCTCATTAGGTTTCTGTCTGCCCAACCCTCCAGCAGATCAAGGTCCCAGAGAATGGCAGCAGAGCCTTCAGGATCAGCCACTGCCCACAAACCTTTTTTTTTTACATGCTTGGTCACAGCCTGCAGAGTGATCTGTGCCATCAGCTTTCCAGGCATAGAGGTGAGGCTGACTGGCCAGCAGTTTCCTGGGTGCTCCTTGTTGCCCTTTTTGAAGATGGGAGTGACATTGGCTTTACTCCAGTCATCAGGCACCTCTCCTCTATTATTTTTCAAAGAAGATGCAGAGTGGGCTTAGCAACAACATCTGCCAGCTCCCTCAGCACAGGTGTATGCTTCCCATCAGGGCCTGTGGATTTATGGCTTTGTCTGCCTAGCCAATCTCTAACCAAACCCTCAATGGCCAAGGGCAAGTCTTCCTTTCTCTGGCCTTTCTCTCTTGCCTCCAGGGTCTGGGATTCCTGAAGAATGGCCTCAGCAGTGAAGTCTGAGGTAAATGAGTAATTCACTCTGCCCTCTCCGTGTCTCCTGTCACCAAGTTACCCATTTGATTTCAGCAACATTCTCACATTTTCCCTAATCTTTCCTTTGCTGCTGATGTACTTGTAGATGCTCTTCTTGTGGTCCTTGGTATCACTCGACAGACTCAATTCCATCCGGCCTTGTCTATCCTTGTCACAGCCATGCATTCTCTGTCAATATTCCTCCCATATGCCCTCTCTCTTTTTCTACATCCCTAGCAAATAAATTCCTAAGCAATTATGATCTGGAAATCAATACTGAGCCCTCAAATCTGCACAGACAGAACAACATTTTTCTATAGAAAACCAAAGTATATGCAGTAACTGAGTGTTTTGGCAATTAGACTTCAATAATAACATGGCTTACACAATTCTAAATAGTAACAGAAATATTTAACATTAACATAATTAATGTTTCTTCTGAAAACAGAAGAAAAGACCATTTTTAAAAGCCATTTTAAAACATTATTAATAATAATTATAATTAATATATTATAATTTATAATTAATAATTACTCCTTATTAATAATAAGGAATTATAATGTATTTAGGATGTTTCAGCTTTGCATGAAAGCTCAATGCAATTAGGTTTTAATATTCCTTTTTAGAACAAAAACATTTTCTAACAAGAACATTTTCAGTTGAGAAAACCAATCAAAACTACAATCAATCAAAACTACTCAATAATTAACCAATCCCTCTTTCAATGTGTTTTGAACAGATCCTCTTGATCCAACACCACTTAGTATTCACCAGTCTCAGTGCAGAGTACTGAGACAGTGTGATTTCTTGAGTTCGGGATGCAGGCTATTTTTGCTAACACAACAATAATACAGACTGAGACAGAAAGCATATACACAGATTAGCTGACATCATCAATACATGAAGACTTAGCTATCATGGCACAACAGGGTTTTGTGCCACTGCAGCTTATTTTACATTGTGCCAGGCTGTCATATACGGCTTTGGCACACATATTAAATGCACATTCTTAGTAACGTGAGAACTTTCCTTCAGATAGCCTCTTTCTACTCTTCTCTATGTCAGCTCCACAGCCTAAGTGGTCTGTCAAAACTTCAGTTCACATGTGTTGCTGCCACTGCCTTTCTAATTAGCATTTCCTACACCACATATATATGCACTCCCTCTTAGCTGCTGCCTGTTCTAAAGGTTTCTAAATTCCATTTAGCTGATACTTCTATCCATCCAGTCAAACTTCATGGATTCTTAGTTACCCATAAAAATGGATATAAATGTGTACAATAAAACCTTGGCACAAAATATGTGTAGGTCTACAGGATTATGTTGAAAAACAGACTATAAACCATGAGATCTGGTATCTTTATCTCAACAGGCAATACTAAAACATTCTACAGGAACAAGTCTTTCTGACAGATAAACAAGAGACTTCCTCAACACCAC